GGCCCTTTTTGGGGTTTGGGGGGTTTCCTGCCATGTTCAGCTGCTGCTGTAAATAGCTCCTTTGGAGCAGGGAAAAGCGCAGCCGGCGCTTGTGGCACTCGGAGCCCCGAGGCAGGGAGAAGGGCCCCAAATTGTGCCTGGATCTGGCAAAAAGAATTGCACAGGCCTGCGGCAGCAAAGGGCAGCAGGAGGGACGGGCTCCAGGGCTTTACTTGGCTCCTGAAGGGGGATGATGAGGGTGAAGATGAGGGTGAGGATGAAGGTGAGGGTGAGGATGAGGGTGAGCGTGAGCCCCGCTTGCTTGCATCAGGTGCTGCATAACATGCTGCATCGGGCACCTTTCCCGCTTTTGGGAGCGGAGTTTTCCCGCTAACGCTGCTCGGGGCCGGGACGCGGGAATGGGGCCGGGGCTGCGGGAGCGGGGCGCGTTCGGGGCGCGCTCGCTGCTGTCGGAGTTGGGGTTTCCTCTTGGCGAGCCCGTTCCAGAGGGAGATGTGCACGAGCCTGGCCTGGCGCCGGAGCCCGGTGCGCCCTTGTTCAAGCCGGGAGTCCCTGCAGGATTCCTGTTCATTTCTCATCTTTCCTTTCCTTCTCCTTGCAGGAACCTTGGCAAATCCGGCCTGCGAGTGTCGTGCCTCGGCCTGGGTGAGTGTCGCGCCGCGGTGCCGGGCGGCTCCCGAACGCAGTGGGAATCCGCAGGGATGCGCCCGGGAACGGGGGGACCTGCAGTGAGGGGTGGCCTGAGGAACGTGGCCGCATTCCTGGCTCCCGTCCGCGAGCCCGGCCAGGAGCCTCCCCAGCTTGAGGCACATCCCAGGCTCTTAGCAGCGTCTTGGAGCTGCCGCAGGGATTTTCCTCCTTCCCTGCAGCTTTGCTGGGAGCCAGCCCTGCTGTGGAGGGGACGGAGGTGGCAGGAGTCATCCCCGTGTGGCCCTTCCCGGGCTCCGGGCACGGGGAGCCAGAGCATCCGTAGCACCCGGTGCGGGAATGGGAGCTGCCGATGGGAATTCCTGCCCTGGGAAGGGGCGCGTCAGCGAGCCCGATGGCCCCAGGCACCCTGCCAGGACATAGGAAATGTGGAAATGGCTCTTCTTCCTCCCACCTGCCGGCTTGGGACCTCTCCGCGGATTTAAGCAGAAAAAAAAAAAGAGGAGGAAAGAAACAAAAATCCCTTTGGGATAAGCAGGCTCAACCTTTCTCAGCAGAAAAGCCTTTAATGTATTCCTGTAAAAATAACACTTCTGAGGCTTTGCAGAGGAAAGCAGTTTTCATCCTTTTTTTTTTTTTTTTTTTTTCCCCCCACCTGCATGAAGCGGCTCCGTGACAAGACCCCGTTTCCAACCACGTCCCTGCTCCAGGAGCCCTTCCCTGCAGCCGGAGCAGAGCCAGGTCCCCATTGCCGCTGCCCTCCTGGGATTAAGGGCAAAGATTGCAGCTTCCTTGGCGGGGGGCAGGAAGGATATATTGGAAAAAATAGAAAGAGAATTAATGTTGAGGGGGAGGAATTGTCGCTGAGCAGCCGTGCTCGGCATCCGCGAGGCCTGGGGCAGCAAAGGGGGCCTTGGGGGCAGCCGTGGGGTGGCACGGGGTGGCACGCGGGTTGTGCGCTGGCGGGGAGCGTTTATTTGAGCAGAGCAGCAGCAGCAGCATCGCCCCCCACGGGGTCCCGCGGCCCCCCGGCGCTGCCACCAGCGCTGCCGTTCTGCGGGATGGGTACCCTGGGGCTCCCCGGCACGCGGTGACCCCCGTTTCGCTCCCCGCAGGGACGTGGGTCACGTTCGGAGGGCAGATCTCGGACGAGGTGAGCGCGGCGCGTGCGGGGCGCGAGCGGCCGGCGGCGCGGGGGCTTTTCCGCAGCGGGAGCCGGGATTAGCGCGGGGAGGGCGGTGGAGCCGGAGCGCCGGCTGCAAAACACTGGAATTACTGCGCCGTTCGCGGGGATCGGCTCCGAGGCGGAGCGCGCTCCCCGGGGAGGGCTGTGCTCTTGGTGCCGTGGGGACAGGCTCGCCCTGCGCCCCGCGATGCCGCCCGGGTTTTCCAGAAAAAACACGTAAGGAGTGAAAATGCCGCCAGGGATGCGGCTCCCTCCTGCCCGGAGCAGATGGCTCCTAATCTCCGCTGATAGCGGCGCGCGGCGGCACGTGCCCGCGCCGGGCGCCGCGTACGTGCGAGCGTCATTCACCGCAAGGAGAGGAGCCGCCCCGGCGCTGCCGGCAGCCTCGCCACGAGGACGGTGACACAAAACCCCAAAATAGCTCCTTCCGGAGGAGCGGGAGGCGCGGGAGCGGGTTCAGGGCTTGGAGACGTTTGATCTCCGTTATCGCTTCTGCTCACCACGGAGCCGGGTTTATTTCGGGCATTTTGGTATTCTCGGGCGCTGCAAAAAGGTGCTTTTGCTTATGGGCCGGGGCTGATGGTGCTCGCACGCTCCTGGGATTAAAAAAAATGGGATGAAACGGCAGGGAATGGGAAAAGGGGCAGAGCCAGCACAGAGTCCTTGGGGCAGCACTGGGCACCACAGGGCCGTGAAGGGGATTCGTAACCTCCAGCTGCCAAAACATCCTGCAAAGGCCAGAGAATTGCAGAAGAGCTGGTCACGTAGCCTCAAAATCAAATAAGATGGAGAGGTCACCATCTCCTGCCTCGTGTTCCCTTCACAAGTGGGTTAGGAGGCTGCTCTGACAGCTCTGAGCTTCTCTTTGGATTATTTAAGGAAAAAAAAGAAAAAAAACACCCAGGCTGAGGACAGGGGATTTCTGGACACTGCTGCCACTTCCAATTTCTAAGTATAATTTTATAAGACATAAATCTCTCCGGATTTGCTGCCTGTGGGGTATAATTTATGTTCTCTCGGGGGGAAAAAAAAAAAAAAGAAGGGAATGTGCGCTGCAGGAATGTTAATGCGTTCGAGGCTGCTGGGAGGCCGATTCCTCCGCGCTGCGGTGGTGGAGGCAGCGCTGGGAGCTCCGCGCCGAGGGGTGGCTTCTGGTTGAGTGGGATGGGCATGAGCTTTTGGGGGACCTGAGGGTGCTCTGGAGGACCAGAGGTGCTCTTGGGATGGACATGAGCTTTCGGGGATCCCAAGGGTGCTCTGGTGGGTCTGACGCGCTCTTGGGGCGAACGTGAGCCTTTGGGTGACCCAAGGGTGCTCTGGAGGACCAGAAGCGCCCTTGGGATAGATGAGAATTTTCAGGGGACCCAAGTGCGCCCTGGTGGGTCTGACACACTCTTGGAGCGGCCGTGAGCTTTTGGGTAACTCGAGCGTGCTCTCGGGGTGCTCCTGCACCAGCAGCGCTCTCGGGTGATGGTCTCGCAGCCGGTCACCTCTCCCTCCTCCGCTTCTCGCAGGTG